AAACCACCTGTGACCTTCCATCTGCTAACAAAATTAATCCATCCCTGCACATATACACACACTCTTCAAAAGAAAAAAAAATAAGGACTGGAATTCCTGGAGGTATAAAGAAAATAAGGTCTCTGACTATTGCAGCTGGACACATCTGCTCATACTGTCTTTCCAGAGAGTTGGTAGAAAGGGACTTGCTACCTGGATTTCCTTTAAAGAAAGAGCTGAGAAGCATCCATTTAGAGAAAATAAAAATTGCCTAGGTGAGCTGATGGAAGCCAAAATTATTAAAGTGACATATTTCAGTTCATGCTGTGCAGGAGAAGAGACATATTAAATGTGGCTTTGGGAGTATAACTCTCCTTTTTTTATCCATAGAAACCTGAACAAATACTTAGCAAAAAAAATCTTTTATGGTCTTTTTTCAATAAAAAATGTTGAAAGCAGACAGAGATGACAATTGCAGTGCCATCCCTACTTGCCAACAGAGACCAGGAGAATAATTTCTTGTTGCATCAAATGATGCACTAATTGATACCAGCCCACACCAGATAGGCAAAGCATGGGACAGGCAGTCTGATCTCTCTTTAGCCCAGAGTGAAACTGGATTCACATTCTCATGTTTCTCTTTCACTCTGTCCCTAGTAATAATTATCAATTAAAATTTAAAAGTCATTTAAAGTAAAGAACTTAATTTCTGAAAAAAAAAAATCAGGATTTCAAAGATGTTTCCTGCTCCAGTAAAATGAAAGTCAAAATAGGGAAAATTTGGATCAAACACAAAGTGATGCATACTTCATACTGGCAATCACCAAAGCAAATATTGCTGTTTGCAATGTTAGCAAAAGACTGGACAAAAGATTGGACAGTTTTAGAAAATATTTCTCATCAGTCAGCTAAGTTACAATGTTCTTTACTATTAGTGTTTTCCTATATCAAATTTTGTTTTCATTAAAAACATTTCCTAGTTTACTTACCTGCTTGTATTAATCTAATTCTTCCAAGAATCCCAAAGTCATATAATAATTTGGTAAGTACCCTGCGTTTTGGAGGGGTTTTTGTAGTTGTTTATATGTTTGTTTTGGTTTTTTTGTTTGTTTGTTTGGTTTTTTTGGAGATTCCAATATAAGAAAGTGACTAAGATTTCATAGAAAAAATTAGGAGAAAATCTGAATTTCCTGTGAGCCAGTCCTGGTAAACTCAGACTGTGATTATAATTCTGGAACAGAAAATAAAATGAGTACTGGATCTCAAACAAAATTCCTTTCTCAGTATTAAATAGGAAGGAAGTCCAGGCTCCTCTGGGTATAGACAGAATGGGCTCTTTACTACTGAAACAGAATTATGCTAGACTGTAGACTTTCTCCAACACTATGTATGCAGAAGTCTGCCAATTAAAGAAAGTATTTTCTTATTTCCAAGTTGGGATTATAGTTACTATTTTTTTCCAACAAATATGTAAAATGCTCCATTGTCATTTTCTATTGTATATGTCCTCAGACATGATTGCCTCTTTCAACTAGAGAACCTGAAAGTTCTTTCAAAAATACATTTAACTCACAGGCTGAAATAAAAAGGTAAAAAGAAATTTCCACACCTTTCAACACAGAATTTAAAAAATATCAGATTCTCTTGATAAACGAAATGGAGCTTTAGAGTTGAATGAGGCATTGAATGTTCTCTTTCTCCTCCCCCCCAACCTCGCCCTCCCCCCTTTTGTTTTTTGGGGGTTTGTTTGGGGTTTTGGGGGGGGGGTTTGTTGGTTTTTTTTTTTTTCGTGTAGTAGGCCATATGTGGGCCCTGAGCTGAGCATCATGGCATGGCACAGTGGATGTCTGGGAAAGGCTGTTAATTCCTGTTTTTTTTTTTTTTATTATTATTTTTTTAATACTTAGATCCCATTTGTAAAAAATAGAGGGGGAGAAAAGATTTTAAAAAAAGATAAAAGTTAAAATAAAAATGTTTAAAAGACATTTTTAGTGAAAAATAAGAAGATGAAGTGTTGCATCAACTTTGTGAATTTTTGAATACTGTCTATTTCTACGTTTTTGTTGGATAAAGAATAGCTTTCATTTGTGAGATAAAAAGGACAAATTCATCTCGAGCTCTATTCCCCTGCAGCTTATATATTTTCATATATTGGTGTAATTTGGAACTACAATCTAGTCATAATTCAGTTCCTGTCTTTAGTAAAAGCATGTGCCTCTAATTTGCAATCAATTTCTGCATTTGACACATGGAAATAATGAATATCCTCATCTACAGCTGGAGACAAAGGGAGAAAAGACTGTGCAGCACTTTGTGGGCTGGAATGTCTGGGTGTTTCCTTCTCCTAGGCTTTGGAGCCTCAGCATCCAAATCATTGTAATATTGTGCTATAATCATTGTGTGAATAAAGATCCTCAGTTTAAAGTTTTCTCTTATCTCCTTTGAACAGGCAACTTGAATAATTACATAAACATGAGTGAGAATTTGATGGCACCAGTTGATCGTGTAGGGTCTGACATTGTGTAAAGTATGAAATGTCATGCAGCTTACAAAAGCAGGTATTTGTGGACATATTCATCTCTAAATGTGTGTCATAGCTGCTATTACTTTTCTCATGGTTGTCTTTTACTGAACAAAAACCTGTAAAAGAAACAATATCTGGAAACAATTATTGTCAAAAATAAATATGTTGTTTTAAATTGCATTCTTTTCAAGAAGCCTCATGCCTGATTTTCAAGGCATAGCTGTAAAACTAATTTCGCAGTGTGCAGAGATTTTGATGAAGGTTTTCTGTGCTAAGATACTGAATTTAAAAAGACTATATTAAAGTGCATTATAAATAAGTCATATTAAGTTTGTGTTCCACTCCTTTATTTTAGATGGAATGAGAGGTGCTTATGTATTTACCATGTCTTTTTAATATTTTTATTTTATTGTGATGATAGCTGTGATCTCCAGACAGGACCAGGATCCCTTCTCTTAAGCAAAGTATAAACAGAATTATAAGCCTTCCTCTAAAAAGCTTTTAGAGAAGTGTATCAAGTAAGGAGGAAACAAATTAACAGTGCACAATTCAGTTGAAACAATTCTATACTAGAAATGTCTACCAACAGAATACCCTCTGTAATCCTAGGACAAGAGAGCAACTGTGGAGGTTTAAATACCTGGGGAAGAGCGGGAAGACAAAGATGGCATTTCTTGATCATTTTACCTGTCACTAATGAAATCACTGCTAGGTTGGAGCATGGAACCTGCTTGATAGCAGTACCAGATTAAACAATGGAAAAGGGAAGTGCTGCAGGGAACGGGCACAGCAAACACACTTGAATAAAAAGATCTGCAGCTATCTCCACTAAAATCTGGCCAGCTCACTACAGCTGACATCTCTGCACCTGTGTCTTTAAGATTTCCTCTAATCACCACAATAATACAACAGTAGTAGATACTTAATGCTACACATCATGAATTTTCTGTTCTAAAAGAATTGGTCAATAGTAAGGATATTAAAAGGAATGCTTCACAGCTAGTACAAGAGGGTTTAGACTTACACTAAGTTTTTAAACTGTAATGAATATTTAAAAAAATTTTGTAAGAATCCTTAGGCTTTTCTGAATATTTTTTCCTATTGTGACATAGTCTTATAGTTATTCCCCCTAAGAAATATGTACAGATTAATTATGCAAAAGCTTACAGATGCAATTTTTTTTTTTCTTAATAATCATGGTTACTAGCTGGGGCTGAATTCTATGGGAAATAATTAATAGTCATAGAAGTCACTTCCAACAAAAGCCTGATGAAAGAGAGGTGGCATAACTGCCCATAAAGGTGATGCATTGTAATATTAATCAAGAAAATAGATGCCATATAAAAGCAAAAGGTCAGCTACTGTGAAATGTAGGGAAAAGGAGTGCATCATAGAATCATAGAATATCCTAAGCTGGAACAGGCTCACAAGGGATAATTGATGTGCCTGAGACCTTTGTGCAAATGCTTCTCAAACTCTGTCAGATTTGGTGTTATAATGGCTTCCCTGGGAAGCCTGTTCCAATGTCCAACCACCCGCTGGGTGAAGAACCATGTCCTAACATGTAATTTAAATCTCCCCTCTAACAGCTTCATGCCATTTCATCAAACCCTGCCATGGTCACCACAGAGAAGGAATGGGTGCCTGTCCCACCACTTCCCTTCATGAGTCTCCTCCAGGATGAGCAAGTGATGTCAGCTACCCCTCATATGATTTCTCCTCCGGACCCTTCATCATCTTTGTAGCTCTCCTTTCGAAGCTTTCTAATACCTTAGAATCCTTATATTGCAGTGCCCAAAACAGCAGATAGAACTTGAGGTGAAGCTGCTTGAGCACAGAGTAGAGTAGGGCAATCCCCCCCTTCAGCTGGCTCATAATGCTGTGCCTGATGCACCCCAGGATGTAATTTTCCCTTTTGGCTGTCACAGCACAGTGCTGGCACATTCAACCTGCCATGACCAGGATATAGGCATGCTGCTTTCAGCTGGGGTAGAGTTAATTTTCTTCACAGTGGCTCGTATGGGGCTGTGTTTAGGATTTGTGCTGAGCACAAGGTTGATAACAGAGAGATGTTTTTCTTATTGTTGAGCAGGGCTTACACACAGCCAAGGCATCTTCTGCTTTTCGTACTGCCATGCTGGTGAGGAAATTGGTGAGGTTGCCTGCAAGGTTGGAAGTAGACAGAGCCAGGACAGGTGACCCAAATTGACCAAAGGGATATTCCAGATTGTATTACATAATTCTCAGTATAGAAAGTGTGGGGAAGAAGAAGTAAGGGGGAACATTTGAAGTCTTGTCTTGACTTGTCTTCCCAAATCACTGTTACATGTGATGGGGAGATGATTGAACACCTGCCAGTCATGAGAAGCAGTGAATTAATTCCTTGTTTTGCCTTGTTTGTGTGTGTGTTTTACCTTCCCTATTAAATTGGTTTTATCTCAGCTCATGGGCTTTCTAACTTCTACCTTTCCAGTTATCTCCCTGATTTCTCTGCTGGGGGAGTGAGGGAGCAGCTGCCTGGGGCTTGGCTGCTGGCTGGGGCTAAACCACAACAACAATACAGCAGGTGAGCATTTAAGACACTTTAACCGTACATTACCTTTCAAGTAAGAGGTTCCTGAAAGTATTTACAAAAAGCATTATCAGTATTACTAAAATTGGTCAGAATTTTGGTCCTTTTCTTCTTCAAAAGACAAGAAATTCTGACAATAGCTAGGACAATATTAAAAATTTAGGGCAAGTGAGACTCGGAGAGAATTTAGAGTTCAATTTAATACTCTCAAACACAAATTTGCAGCTATTGCTGTCTAACAATTCAGAGGATAGGAGGAATGCTCATTTCTTCCATCTTTATCTTTGATAGGTTACAAAGATAACTTACTATATTTGAACACTGGGAAGATATCTTCAATACTGGTTAAGCAATGGTTCAAGATTTAAAAAATCAAACCTTAATTTTGTCAGCTAATTCTGTCAGCTATGACAGCTGTGTTTCTTAGTCACAGTATCCTGAAGTTTACAGACCTCATTTTGAAGAGTAAACCTTGAAAAAACAATTTCAGCATGGCTTCATGCATTGCCTCCTCGGTTCTCCTCTACCTTAGACTTTCCATTTTCCACATGCCTATTCTGAATCCTCCTTACAGTTTCTGTGTCTGAATCTGTATTTTGCTTGGTGCTTTTAGACTCTTCCTGTTTATCCCACTGTCTCATATTTCCTTGGACTAATCTCCTATCTGTTATCTCATGTCCCTTCACAACAAATCCCATTTCATTATTAAGACACTTTCATCCATCTTCTTCTTGGCATACCTACTCTAAGCAATTTCTACCTCATGCATTCTCCGTCAGTCATGAATTTTGAAGGTGACTTCAATATTCCAAATGGAAATGTTTGAGAGTGCTTCAGCAATGCTAGCCAATGGGGAAATATTCCCCTTGACTGTGGAAGACTGGTGAAAAATCCTCATTGTTCTTCAATATTAACTTTCAATCTCAAAAAATGCTCAAAACATATTAGCAGGTTTTTTCCTTTATTTATCGATCAGAGTTTCTCTATTTATTTGCTTATTTACTGGCATCAAGTAATTTCGCCTAACCTTCAGGGATTTTTGTTTGCTATCATTTAAGAGGTGGGGAAAGAAAGACAAGTTTAAAAATGCATATGTTGTTCTTAATGTGCTGTAACAAGATTGGCATGGTACCAGTGATGTTTGAATTTCTCTCTTAGGAAGACTAAGATAGTTCAAGCAGCTGCACTGAAATTGCATTGAAAATGGATACTTTGCAAATTCTCCCCATAAATGAAAGTTTAAATTACAAAAAGCCGTCTGACCGGTTATCTCTTAGTAAAGTGCTTTACAATTTGCATATAAACTTCATTTATTTTTCTAATTACACAGAGTAAAATGCATTCATTTTGCTTTTGATTACAAACAGTTGTGCCAAACACCTGTGACTACCACAAATTCTAATTTGTTCTTTATTTACTTCAAAGCAATCTTATCATCTAAATGATTCAAAGCATCAAAGACCTTAATTATTGATAGTCAGTTTGAAGGGTTACACTTTCCATGTCCTTGGGCTGAAGGCACTTGTCTGTTTTCTTCTCCTCAAGTACACACTTGGCTGAGCTAAAGGACATATGATTGTGTTATGAAGTGTTTTGGAAATTACATTCTTATTTAATGGGAACTAGATTAGACAATACCAAGACTGACAACTCCAATCTGGCATCTACTAAAGAAAAAAAAAACCAAAAGAAAGTAGTCTTCTTTTTACATTGAAAAAAAGTTGTGTGTATATCACATGTATTGTGCAAGTTCAATCTGTCTCCACAACACTGATGTTTTGTGAATACCTTTCATTTATTCCAGACAGAAATACACCAAATTTACCCTATTGCAATGAATGTGCACATGGTGTGTCCTGTCATGATCAATTTTTATACTTTCTTACAATTTAATTAAAACATTTAAGTGGTTAAAAAATTCTTATACAAGTCAGAAGGGAAAGGATGAAAAGGTCCTCAATACAAACAAGACACTTAGCTAACATGCATGTCTTAGGGTGCATAGTCCTAGCTCATGCATGTGCTTGCATATCACAATGCAAACCTTCAGACACAGATTCTCAGTTGCCTCTGTCTGCAAAGCATGTATTTTCCAGTCTTGGACCATCGTAGCTGCTATATTCTCATAGTGCCTTGAAGGTGTGGCATATTAGATCAATTTCTAGAAGCTGGGAGTATTCAGAGCTTCAGATAATTTAGATAATTTTTAATCACTCCATCCTCCATTATCCTCTACAATATTTTACCTTAAACTCTTAGTCCTTTAATTGTAAGAAGGGTCATATTACTCCTTAAGCCTCCATAAAACTGATCATGACGCCTACAGAATGCATAGTTTGATGTCTAAGTTCCTCACCTGTATTCTTTTACTTTTAAACTAATACCTTAAACTTTATTTCAGCAATGGAATTCCCAGGGTACAAGGAAACAGGTACAGTTTTCATTGTTCTTTAAATATGTTCATAGTGCCCTGTAATCTGTCTGCCAGTACTTCCTTATCCTGGTTTCATTCCTTTAAGACTGGGCTGGCACCCACTGCTTCATTGTTTGACTGGTAAGACCCAAGCTCCTTGCTTTGACTGCATGCCATACTACACGCACCGCATTCATCTGGTGATGCACAATGTAAAAGATCTGGGGAGAATCCTGTTCCATAGGAATCAAGGAGGATATGCACAGTAGCCAATACAAGGCAAATGCATGGATACAGTACATATAACGTCCATATGGATATACACATGAACCCATGAGGTAGGTTAGACCTGTGGCTGTATAAACCATATCAGTTCCAGTGGCTGAGGAGTGAGGCGAGGTTGTGAATGGTTTATGTGTGTCCCAGCCATACTTGGTACATCTTCAGAATCTGGTCTCCTGTAAGTGCAGTGCTGATATTTTAATAAACTGCTTAAATATTCCTCAAATATGTTAAGACCTGGATTCAAGATTCACCTTCTGTAATATGATATGACAGTGGAAACTTTTTCACATGTAGAGTTCTAGGTTTTTGTTTTCCTATATTTTTACTCATGATATCATATCTTATACAAAATAACCACCAAATCATTTGTTCTGCTCTTAGAAACTTCAAGAAAAGTTTCAATAATTCCATTGCAATAAATAATACGCAATATCTTAAGTATCTTAAAACTGTTTGCATATTTTCAATTAACAATAATCTTCCTGAAAATGCAAAATTATTTTAAGTATATAATCTGTGCATGCTCACAGCATTAATAGGAAGAGACTAAATATTAATCAGAAACTGTAATGCATTTAATTGTTCAACTAACTCTTGACTTTCTAGGCAGCACCCTCTCGGGATGGTTACATTTTATATGTCCTACAATGGTAAAGAGAACATGGCAACCATAATTATGTGCTAATCTCACAGAAAGATGTAGATGCTTTTATTAAACCAAGGTTTTAAAGTTTGAATATCTCATAAATAATGAAACATAGCAGCACACAAATTGTGAGCTCAATGTGCAAATTGTGTAACAAAGTTGTGCCTGCTATTATAAGGGTTTAATCAGAAGCAATACATGAAATACAGGAGAGAATATTGACTCTTCAACCTAAGACTGAATAGAGACCTATCTGAGCCAGGATAATTAACATATTACTGTGAGATTCTGAATTAAAATTTTTGTTCAGCCAATAAAACATGATTTTGCAATTCTACTATAAATCTATAAAAAAGATATTTTCAAGAGTATATAAATACATATGTATATATGTGTGTGTGTGTGTGTGTGTGTATATATATAATATGTTTAAGAAATAATGTCTTCAACACATTGAAATGCACAAATCTGCAAGCTTCAGCTGAGGAAAAGAAAATTGACTACTCAGGCATCCCTGCTGAAGTTAACATACACAAGCAAACAGCACACATAATGAAAAGCATATTAGAATCTTAAACTATTTTCATCTTAACAACCTAATGTGTTATTGTTAACTGAGGGAAATAAAATTATTTAACTCCATTGCTTTCCACTTTTTAAAATCACTACTTAATTGGATTTTTTTAGGTAATTGGTAAAAGGATAGTTCCAGTCTCTCTTTTCCATCTATGACTTTTCAAATACTGCACAGGTACTGATTTGACTGAAATTAAACATGTGATTCAAAGATCTCTGAAGTCAGCGTAAAGGTATTCACTAACTTTAGTGACGCTTGGCTCAAACTTTAAGCTGCTTAAAATCTCTACCTTTACAGCTTATCCCTGCAAGCAAGAGAAATTGTTGGATGGCCAATGGTCAAGATTTCCATCCAATATGAAAGTAGTTTTGTTAATTGACCTCTACAGTCTTTGCTACTTGACTTTTTGAATTATTAGCATTATTTCACTTTGTGACTACCTGGTTTTAAGTCTTTATGTATTGCCAATATTACTTACAGGGCTTTCATTTATAGTAGTGCTCAGCGTGGCAAGAAGAATTGTACTACATTAATACAAACTCCAGTACACCACCTTTCCTCTGTTGCAAAATTTACCATGAAGTTGAGTCTACTTGCCTCTAGTGAATGATCATTATATCATCAGTGACCTTTCAGTCTGATCAGCATGATCCAAATCCACCTTAAAATACCTCTTTGAAGAGAGACATGGATTGTCTAAGAAAATGCAAACTAGTAGACTGACACTTGGACACATTGCATTAATTCAGAGGGCAGGGCAAAGAAATATTCTGTACTTAGTTTGCTTCCAGAGAACCAAGGAATGGCCATTGTAGTGTTATCCTACTAAAATAAAAAAAATAAAAAGACATTTTTGTTTTCAATGGTCATGTATCAGTAGATTGTGAGCCACAGAGTGGACAGCACAAGCCATGCTTAGTGTCACTGTATCAAGGTTCCTCTAGAGGCAGGTGTCAGAGTACATGTGGTTCTACATTCACCCAATCATTTTTGAAAACACTTTAAGATACAGCAGCATTCAGGAAAAAAGCTCTCTTCCTCCAAGCAGAACAGTCAATGTAGTGGCATCAATTGCATCCTTTTTCTGTCCCAATAGGAAAAAAAACCCAAAAACCAAAAAAACCACAGAGTTCACTGTCAGTACCTAAACTGAGTTAAGAGGTAAGGAGACCAATCTTTACCCTGCAGTAACAGCCCACAACTTCTCCACTTCATCTTGTAAAGCACACAAGTGGTAAAATAGTTCTGAAGGGATCTGTGAATGGCAGAGAAATGGTTTGCCCACCACTGTTATGTTTGAAGTGGCTTGCACATGATCTGCCACAAGTCCATGTACAGTCATTCTACAATCAATGAAATGCTTCATTTTTGCTCAGAGCTGTCACTTGCTAGTGGTAAATTCTTATTGTGTGCCTCAGAACACACACAACATGTACATGATGTGGCACTCAATTAAGTACACATATCAATTAAAAGACAGCATAAGATGTCTTTGTCAGCTCCATTGCTCTCTGCCCTAGCTATAGCCCCTCATTAAAGCTGTTTACTGTATTTTTGCTCATTCTGCATATCCTTTGGGCTGTTTTGTAGCCAGAGACAAAAACAGCAAGAGGAGAGCCTACACATTTCATGGTCTAATATATGCCTGAAATGTGAATATTTTTTGGGTTCTTTTAGTTCCCAGAATTTTTACAAAATAGTTTAAAACAGTAAGGGCTTTCAGCCCTCTGGCTTAGAGTGAACACAAGTTCCTTTTTTCTTCCCTTCCATTCCTACCTCAGATCTTTGTCTGGGGGCTCAGCAGGGAGAGCAGCAACTGGTAGGTTTACCCAATAACAAGTGGGAACCATGAGGAAAAGTTGCTCTCCAAGAGCATCTCTGCCAGCCTCTATGAGGATTTCAGTCTGTACCACCAAGCAATAATTTTCTGCCCAGTTATTTTCACAAAAACTTTTGGGGAAACTATTCCGCTTTTGCTCTTCACAGTTTCTAGTTTGGCAATTGCAGAGGATTAACATCAGTGCTTTGCTGCATTAAAACAGCCATGAAACACTCCTCAGGGTATGAAGTATCATGCGGGCAGCTGGGCACACGGTAACGTCAAGATGGAACTCACACAACACGATACAGTTCAAACTCAGAAATTAGGTTTTAATTTGCTGCAAAATTTAACACTATTAAACAGGGATTAACACTGAGGCAATTAAAGTGCAATTGGAAAAGCTCTTGCCTATGAGGTGGGAAGGGATGAATTAACTTTAGGCAAACACCAGGAAGCTTTGAGAGCATAAAGGAAATGGAGCATGGGAGAGAACATACAGGTGCAAAATCTCTTCCTGCATTGGTAAAACATCGCGACTACATTAGCCTCAGGGAAATATTTTGGAAATCATTCCACACAAATAAAGCAATACTGAAATTCTGAAAACTCAAGAGTCAGAAGGAATGGACCAATGTTTTGATATTTCTCCTAAAGCTGGGTCTTGAGAGATTCTCCTCCTTCTCCTAAAAGACCATTTACAAGCAGTACCAACAAAATAGCTTCCAAAGGTTTGGATTTTTACCTGAATGACTACTTTCAATAACCTACCTAACCTACCCATACATACCTTATTCATCTAGTAGTATTCTTCTGAGAAAGTATTTAAACATTTTTGTTCAGCTACCATTATTTAAACTTCCTGTGTCTTGCTCCTTAATATCTACCTTAACTTATATGTACTCTTGCCTTTCTTTGTACTTTTGGCCCTCTAGTTTCTGCCAGCTTCCATTCCTTGCCACAATTTTTAATGTTTTGTACAAACCATAGATTTTTCTTCTTCTTCTTTTTATGTAATGTTCTTACTCATTTCCTAATCTTTTAAACGTAGGTGATGATTCTATATCAAAGAAACAGAAGGCTTGCATTTTTACAGGTTTCTTTAATTTATTAACATTTTATCTATGGGAAGATTATTCCACATGGTTGTGGCAACTATTTTGAAATGTTGGTATTCTTGCAGGTAATCAGGTCTACCCTCCTCTGGTGGAGCTTTCATGTGCTATCCCATCAGTAAGCAATCTACTTGTAACCTTATTTGCACATCTGTGTGGGGTAAAAAAAAAAAAAAAAGAAATCCAGAGGAATACTACTGGCAAATATTCGGCCTCTAAAAGAGCAGAGAAGTCATCTTAGACTTGTTCTGTAGTCAGAGGAGAGAGAGACCTCCACATAGCACTGCCAAATATCTGAATTTACAAAGTCAAAGAAAATGCCCAAGAGCACTACTAGCTGACTCAACTGTGCAAACAATCAACTTAGCAATGTCTAAAAACTGGACCAGACACTCTCATTTCTATATTGTTTCTTCTGTCTCCTTTGGCCTAAAAATATGGCTGAAGTTTATTGTTGTTTTTTTATTATCTTAAGGGATGTTATTGACTTCTTTTCTAGCACAGTACCCAACACTGCTTCTTCCAAGATAATTTGCATAACTGATCTAGTTCTTCCATAGTCATATTTACTGATAG